CTATCTGCCTCTTTCACCATACTTGTTGTAACCATCACTCCGCTTGCACGAGGGCGGACACACGTCCGGTTATGTGGATGAGCCTATTTTTTGTTTTTGGTCTCAATGCGAAAGAGAAAGGGTGAGGGAAAAGTAAAGAAAATAGGGGCGACGAGTGGTGCCACGACGGTTGAATATGGAATTGGTTAACGGAATTGCCTTCACTTGTCCCTTCGACACTGTGCCTCTCTTACTGACGATGCCGGAGAGACGTTTGTGAATGTACCACGTCACTGGTCCGATGCTGGACACCACAAATACGTTGGCAGAAGACGTCACTTTGATAAGTTGCAATTCTGTGCTTACGATGGTTTGGGAATGTGCCCAGCCAACGGTCGAATGCCGGTAATCATGGATACTCGTGCAGAGGACACGGGAACAGATACATTCTCCACGAGGTCTCCCTGACGCTCCGAGCAAGTTGCGAAAACACAGCCGAACCAAAACTAACATCTCTTAACTTGGAAGCCTGCGCAGACCGAATGTAAGTAACATTGTCGATCGTATTTGCAAATACATGTTTTCTTACGCGACCTTGATTCAGGAAAGGCCTTACCTGCCTTGAGGGTGTCATCTGCCTTGTGGCCAAGTGGGCTATTCATGTGATGGTGCTGCAGTGTGGCAATGTGTCGCCAAGTTGACGCGCTCGAGCTGGATGGGCATACTTTTTGCGAAGGTGGGCTCACCGAAGTTGACCGGCATCAAGACGCCGGTTCTTCCGATTCTGCGGCCCTGAATCGTCTGAATCTCATTCAAGCATTGCCGATAGACTCGAGGCATACACTCACACACTCACACACTCACACACATTGAATAGACCTTTCCTATTTGCATGGTTTCGAGACGACCATACGTTTATTCGCTTGCCGTGGCCTCGAGTGTGGGACAAGAATGCGGTTCTGCTCTGATGACGTCTGTCAGTTTGTCGGCAAGTTGTACACATTTTCACCGGAATCGAGCCGAGCTATCTCGAGGAGGGCGCCAACCCGAATGGCCAATTGGGTCACAACGACAACAGACCGAGGCCACTCTGTTGCTGGGATCAACTTACGCGAAATTCTCCATTGGCCACATCGAACACGACCTACAAAATATAGCTGGACACTCGATAACCTATTGCCATGCAGACAAGCGTACAAATGTTCCGTCAGACAAGCAATAGATGATCATGTAGGCGTCAGTGCACTGACATTCTCGTCTGTATGCTTGCGTTTCTGTGCATTTGTGTCCAGGTCGTGTGTTTGTCTGGCCCTCTTTCCTTCGGACACCACAAACGAAAGTGCCCCCTTTGTCACACGCACACAAACACACACACACACACACACACACACACACACATGACTTGAGAGACTGGCCAACTATGTGACTCTGGCGGACAGTTCTGGTGCCTGGCTGGCGAGGTTGTGCCATCGCCTCGCCCATTGGCCGGTCGCGGCGGACTCTGGCCTCAACCCGTCCGTTGCTGCCTGCGTCTGTCCTCCGACTGGTCTCGTCTGCATGCACCAGGGTGCTGGGCACAGTGGCAGGACGCGTCATACCGCTTCTCGCGCCAGCACCGACGCACAACACCGAGTCTGCCGGTGTGCCACCAGTCGACGAATCCTCCGCTCCACAGTCCGAGTCCCCACCTCGCCGCGCTGACCGCCCCGGCGCTGGCCATTCGCCATTCGCCATTCGCCATTCGCCATTCGCCATTCGCCATTCGCCGCTCGTCCCTCGTCACACTCCCCTCCAGCCGCATGCTTCGGCGTCCGTCTCGCCGCGCTCGCCGTCTCGCCGTCGCCATGGACGGCGGTCGTGAGGGCTTCGGACCCGGTCTCGGTCTCGGCCTCGGATTGGTCGGGCTGCTGCTGCTCGTCGCCGGGCCTGCCGGGGCGCAGGGCCAGCGCACTCTGCTCGTGTACGAGGGCCAGAACGTGCGGTTCGTCTGCAACGCCAGCCGCCTGAATGCCGGACTGCCGGGCGGGCGGGACGTGAACTACCAGTGGGAGTTCAACGACGACCTGATCATCGCGACCGGCGAGCACTTCGCCATCCGCAACATCCGCAAAGCCGACGAGGGCCAGTACAAATGCAAAGTGACCGCCTTCCTCGACGGCCGCGTCGTCGCCGGCGAAGAGTCGACGGTGGTGAGTGTGCGAAAAAGTGAGTCTGCCCCCTTGTTGGCTCCGCGGCCAACAATCCCGTCGACCTACAACAACCACAAGTTGCCATAGTGCCCATTTCGCTTTAGCAATTGGCACTTTGCGTTGTTGTCCACTCAAAGTGTATGGCTTTGCGTGTCAAGTGGTTCGGAGGGCGGATGTTGTGAAAAATTTCATTTTGTATGAAAGTGCATGAGGAAGATATTTGTAGGTCGATCTCACCGGCAGACAACAGCTGATTGCTGATTGCTGATTGCCGTTTGGCTTCAATACCACCTTCCAGTTGACGCAGTTCACGAGACATCTTCCCCCGTTTCGTCCATCACATGCTTGACATCCTCCAAGCGGGAACTCATTCTTGCCCAAGTCCAAAGTTGGCACAATGCCAAGAGGAGGAATAAAAGAAGAAGATTTGAGTAGGGTTTCGAGACTACCAGTAAATCAGTGTATTGAGATGTATTCACCCTATTTCGTCTAAGGTGA